AGTAAGGTCGAATAATAGATCGATTAAATTCAACAGTGTTGGCCCTGGGGCCTATAGTACAATTACAGTTTGATTACTTGCACGTGGTGCTAGTAACATATTAAGTTTCTATTGGCATTGAATGCATATTTCAGATAAAAAGCTAACGGTATTATTGTCACAACATCTATATTGTTTGATGTTAAAAGATTTGGCAAAGTGTGTTCATACATTACAAATTTTGACAGACTTGGCAAATAAATAATAAATGATATTGATAGCATCTTAATGATTTGGCCATACAGTCATGACAATTTAAGGAGTGAAAAGTGAGCGATAGGTCTTGTGGGAATTCAAAGATTCATTAAGACTGTAGCCGTCTAAGCGTAACTCCTGTGTGTAATATTTGTAAATATTCTATCCACTGAAAACATGCTTCTACTATTAATATTACATGTATTTTCATGGATTCATCATATTTTATCCGGTGTGCTATAGTTTCTCATTAAAATGTCTTTTCTGTTGTTGGAATTGAAGTACGTCCCACACAGTGCTGGGATCATATGTCTTTGAAATATATATGCAAACGTCTGGAACCTTGTGTTACAATACAGGCGTTCGTAGCGCTACGACATTCGCATGCCTATGATAAACTATAGAGTTGGTCTCAACCATTGACTGGATTACATTCTCATCGTCAGCAGAGAAATTTCGACATCTCTTTTTCCTTGGGGTGCAGGCGACATTTCGCGATTCCATTTTTTGGTAATCCGGAAGTAAACAGAAAACGGAACTGTGGGATATATGGAAGCTAACCAGTGACGTTAACCACACTATTAAACTTTGACGGCGACGTTAGGTAACGGCATTACTAACCATGTTTTGAACAACGCATATTCAACGTTCGGTTAAGGATTTAACCGGCCGTTAGGGAGTTAACCGGCGGTTAAGATAACCGAGTATTGAACAACCCGGCCCAGATTGATACATTGTTTCAATTTGTTATCACTAAATTACCTTGATCGTTTTGATAATACAATGTATTTCTTCAATGTTGGCCATATTTAATATCAATGCACGCATAGCCATATTCTGGTTCTCATTCATGGATAGAAAGGAAAGCGATGACTACATTAATGTAAACACAGGTTACACACCTACAGCTATTCATGGATCAAGAAATAAACTAAAATTCTAAATTCAACTTCCCATACCTTTGGCCCCTGTGAATTTGAATACATATGTTTTGCTCGTGTTGATAACCATAACTACATGTCAAATAAGACTATTAAATATAGCTGTTTTGCAAAAACTGGTTGTAAACTCTTGCAAGTGCCATTGTTGCTGTAGCATTAACTGTGCATGTGTGCAGTGGCAGACAATGAAGATAAGCATTCAGGTCATGTCAAGAATCTCATTAAAATGCATGTATAGGAAGCGACACGTGCATTGTTGTTGATAGCTGAAAAATCGAGTTGTATTAGCGAGAGTGTTCCCATTGAACAAAAGTGGGAAACAGATAATAATTTATTGCTTGAAAGAACCCAGGTTTTAGACACCATCCTCTAAATGCATGCAATCCATTTACAATTATGAAACAGAGTGACGTTGATTAGATTACACGTCTGTGATCACCTCTTCATATGTGAAAGGGAAGGATCAGTCGAAGTCGAACTCTCTTTCAACTCCACTTTGGGAGCTACAGAAGTGCGGTGTAAATGAAAGTTTTCATGAACCATCATTCTAAAACAACATATTGGTTAGATTCATGCAATTGTTACAGACAGGTACACGCTTTTCTGGGTTCAGCGATCAAATCAGAACATAAATGTTAATATCACATTCATAGGCAATGGCAAACGTGCCAAAATGCCCCCAACCTACCAACCAACCACCACTAGAACATACACTTTTATTGATGTGACATTCTTCATATCTATGCAATGAAAGAAGCACTCGTGCACATATAAAGTAATTTTTCCGTTGATATCTCGTAAATCAACGCATCATGCTATTGTTCTACTGTAAAATGTTGTATATCTATTAAGTACAAATGATTATGCTGGATAAACCAACAAGTATTAAAAAGTACATGACATAGAACCTAAAAGAAAATTGCTATCTGAGATTAGGGTCACATTTGGCAAACACGGTAATATTTAACCTTTCAATGACTGGTAACGAAAACGTATACTGTAATGCATTTCATACTACTGACGCCATGAATACATCAGTAGGAGTCTATAGTTAATATCCATTCCCAGTGAGGAATACCTAGAGTTGTTTTTGATGCTGAAGAATGTAGTCAGTTAATGTCTTTGAAACAACTACAACGCCAGTCGGGCCTGCTGTAACGCAGTTACTGCTACCGACGCCATGAATGCATCACTTGGACTCTGTAGTTAATATCCATTGCCAGTAAGGACAACCTGGAATGGCTTTCACTGCTGAAGAATGTCGACAGTAAGTGTCTCTGAAACAACTACAATGCCACTCGGATCTGCCCGCCAGGTTTGTCTGGTAGAGTCCTACCGGTTTCTCTGGTAGAGTCCTGTCTCGCAAGAGTGGGTGAGTTAATATTTACCGTCACATCAGCAATATTTCAGCCATATCGTGACGAGAACAAACTTGACATTGAAATGGAATATATGTACAGTATAAAAAACCTGTCGACGAAGGACAGTAAAAGAACTAGAATATCACAATTAAAACTAAAACTAGTGTAGAAAGTTAAAACTAATAGCACTATTTGGACAATACAATATAAAAAAAGGCTATAGATCGCCAACAACTGAAAATAGATCACCATACTAGGGACCATGGGCCTGTCTCACAAGTCACAAACTGGAAGCAAGCTGTCTGTCAAGGAGACTGAGAGGACTGGCTGGTAGAAATTAAACTAGCCGCTTCATCTGTCAGGAGAATAATAGGCTGATGCTGTAATGGCCTTTGATGACCCAGTACGTGTATTTTGTAAGGCATGCCATCTGATAGGCGACGTGAATAATGATTTTCAACTCTGTTTAAAGGAACTGAGTGGCGTAAGGCTCCAATAACAAAACATGTCCAAAGATTTACTGCAGCTCAATATATTGTATATTGCGCTGGGCAGATGAAAGTAGGATTTACAAAAAATAGGTGCACAAGAAATGGACACTAGCCGGGTTTTGGGGTTCAACGGGAGAATGTTTAATCAATATGGACTATCCCATCATCAGTTAGGAAACAAAACGAATGTCCCAAATCATCTTCATCATCATTACTAACATCACCCACAGTTTGGTTCTTTTGAGGTGAAGCCCACTTCCACACAGTATCTCTGTACAGTGTTTGGATCTCCTCTTCTTTGATGGAAACAGTAGACAGCTCTTGCTTGGGTGGATAACCAAGTCCCTTCACCGCATGGATATGTTCCTGGTGGGGAAACGCAGTGATCAACTCGCTCTCTGGAGCATTCCAACACCTGACCAGGAAGACACTGTGGGTACTTAAAGAGCGTGAAGTTTTCTCATTCAAATACCTTCCATTTCTAGCTGAAATGCCTGGTCAAAGTTAACTTTATGATCACTAAACTCATGTGTTCTTGTTTAGTATGGACCAACATTGTTGACGGACTGATTATCTAACTGAGTCTCATGTCGAGGCTGTGTCGATCATTTGTTGGTTGAATAATCTCCATCTTTGATTATGTGGTTATATTAGAATAATCTGTCCAAAACAGTTTAGTTTTATTTGCAAATTCATCTTAATTAGATACAACTAGATCTTTAGAACTTATATAATATTTAAAATGTATTTTTACTTTAAAATGTTATAGGCTTAACTCCAACAATAATTTTGAAAATTAGGAAAGTGTATGATGTGAAATATACTCTGTAAGATATAATATAGTATCGTAATTTTAAATGTTATATTTCATTGACCTAGATCTAGATATTGTATTATACTGATTCTCATTGACATATATGTCATCTTGAAAATGTGACTCAACGTACTCTCTGGAGCATATGGAGACCTGGCAAAGGCGTTGCGGTTACAGACAGAGTATCAACGTTTCCTATGTAAATGCACCGGCACTCAAGTCCTACCTGAAACGGGCTTTTTTGAAGTTTACTTTGTCATTGCTAAAGTCATGCTATAGCTTACTTTACCAACATCGTTGATTTCAACGACTGACAAATTGATTATAAAATTAAGTCACATGTCACAGCCTTTTGTAAAGTTTGGTTGTTGAATAATCTCCTTCTTCGGTAATGTGGACCTGAAAACACCAAAGGCTGTGGGAATCAGTGTGCTTATGTCCTCTCAGTGAACAGCCTACAAGCAATGTTCTCCAAATTGCTTACGGTAGACTTCTCATTGACATATGATAAATTGTAACTTGAATTTGTTTTTGTAGGTATTTTAGCTTGACTTGAGAATCTGTTTCATGCGCACCTATTGACATCTTACTTCACAAAACCAAACAATCAAAGGTCTTTAGTCAAACAAACGGGAATGGAATGAAATTATCATGTAATAAGGAAAACTTCGGATGAATTGTTTTGAAAAAGAAAAGGTATCCAAATAAAACAGATTTTGTTCGATACAAGGTCGCACAGACTTTACAAGTAAGTATGTAACTAATCCGACCATAGTAACTAACGACTAACTGCTTCATAAATCGATACACGAATGGTGCACATTTTACAATTGTGCAAACTCAGCGTGTTCACAGTATTGGTTTTCAAAAGGGAACTTAGACAAGGCTAACAGTTAAGTTACTGAAACAAGAAAATATACATTACACATCAGGAATGAGAATTTTTATCTGTATTTCTGAAATGACACCTAAGTGCTGGAATCTGTAAAACTCCAAGAGCACAATCTCAGCGCTCGTTTTCTTATCAAGGTGCATTACCCAAGATGCTTAGTACACCACGGGAGACCAAGGACCCCCGTCTGTGGCACATTAGCTCATCCCACATCATTAGCGACCATTAACACAGGTTTCCAGTTTTACAGTCCGTTTGGCTCAAAAGCGGACTGACGAATTGCAATCTAACTTGAAAACAAATAAACGCACAATACTCAATGAAACGCTGATTATAATCAAAATATCAGATCAACTCTGAGGTTTTTTGGCAGAATTTATGTCTTAAAAATATATAAGTTGTTTAACAAACTATCATTAAACTATTGACGCAGTTCACTTTTTGTTCATCGTCTACTCCAACAAGTAAAATCCCGGTGAACGAGACCCGTCTATTGTTCTGTTACAGGAAGCACCGAACTTTATCACTGGCTTTATTGAAAGAAGGCGCCACAGCAGTCTCATCTCCTTGACTGATAGCTCCGACACTGTGACACCCAGCAGCAATGGACATTTCCAAGAAACAATTCAGTACTATCACAGTCATAACAATCGTTTAAAATACATTCTGCGTCGCTGTTGGGCGCCTATACAGTCATTATTGAAGCTACATAGCAGTGTCTAAAAGCCACCAGGTAATGTTTCTGTTATACGAGGATGCAGTTCACGTCACCCAATCATTCTTTATCAGATCCAGAAAAGGAAGCGTGTTCAGATACATACGTCAAATAATGATACACACGCACCTACATTGTAATTGAAATAAGCCAGAATTCAACGTTTGTGTATTGCAGAGAGAATAAAAGAGAAAGATCATCGTTAAGGAGCGAGAATGGTCATAGAGAGAAAGAGTGAGGGCAATAGAATTAAAAAAGAGAAGTAGAGACAGAAGAATAGAATGAGCAATTGTATATGAGTGTATGTTCTTGTACAATGGCTGCTGCATCTATACAGTTTCAGACTAAAAGTAAAAGTATGTCATCAACTCACTGTGCATCAACACACTGTACAACTATCTGACAAGCGTAATCTGAAGTCAGATATCAATCCAAAATTATATACATCTTGTATGTAATAAAAACGATAACGTACACTTCATCTAATCGTAGTATTGTGCAAAACATAGCTTCATATAGTTTCTGTCCATCTTCAAGAGGCAAAAGGGTCCACTAACCTATTTCAGTGTAAGAGTGAGTAGGGGTATAGCGTCCTTTGAACAGTCTCCCTGGTATATCCCAATGTGTCAGCTTAATATGAAAGGAAAGCCCGTGGTTATGCCGACACACATGGAATATTAATCGGGGCAAAGCAGGATTCGACTTCATAATATTTTGGGGGATGCCCAGGAGATACAACTCCCCATGACACTGTTGCATATGGAGTAAGTGAGTGAGTTCAGTTTTACGCCACACTCAGCAATATTCGAGCTATATGCCGGCGGTCTGCAAATAATCGAGTCTGGACCAGACAATCCAGTCATCAACAGCATGAGCATTAATCCTCGCAACTGGGACCGATTACATGTGTCAACCAAGCCAGCGAGCCTGGCCACCCAGTCCCGTTAGTCGCCTCTTACGACAAGCATGGGTTGCTGTAGGTTCATTCTAACCCGGACCTTCAGGGATCTGTTGCATGTGGAAAATGTACTACAAGGTACATATGTGACAAATGCTCCTTCATTCTATAAATAGCATCTTAGGGTTTTTAGCTCCTGAAATGACAGTAATTACTTTATCCAAGCTTCCCTGATTGCCACAAATTACCGCCCTTGGAACGTCCACGATCATTGCGTATGACAAGCAATTTGTTGCGAAAATAATTTTAGTGTATATGACTAATGATCCTCATTTGAAATTGTTTTTTGTTTGTTTTGTCAAACCTCCAATGATGAATAAGTGTTTCTTTGTCTTAACAAAGATCGAAATTTCATGCATCCTCTTGTGTATCGTTTCATCCACACCCCTCAACACGAACTTTATCCTACACCACTCCTGAAACTGCGCGACATCAAAGAACATCTTTGTGATATCAGCAACCACTCCTTTCACGGAGATTGAATTCCTATCTCTTCAAAAGCACAATGGGCACTTTGAACCCCTTTCTTCTGAAACAACAATCCGTCACATTATTTCTCAAAGGAACGCTGTTTTCGAGCTCATGTGGTGTCTTCATTATTTCAATTAGTTTTTGACAGCTTTTAAAGCAGTTAATAACAAATTCCATCCAATTATAGCGTTGTATGGCAGTGGAATTTGCCTTGACAGATTGATGTAATTGTGTTACCGTGTTTCTGTTAAGATTCAGTAGAAGTTGATAAAATTGTTTGAAAACAACAAATGCTCACATGGAATGAATTTCTATCTACTGTGGTAGGGAAGTTACGACTTTTCATGCTTCGGTAAAAACTATTTAGTGGGTATTTAGAATTGAGAGGACAGCTGCTTTCCTCTGTCATCTCACAGTACACCAAGAGCAGCACGTGTTTGCAGCGTTGAACCACACGTGACATATGCTTAATTGTATATCCACATGAGGTATTATAAAACAAAAAAGAGCAGTGCTCGCTAACAAAAACATGTTTTGTCTAGCTTATCATTCTTTGGATGAATCAAAGAGGAATAGTCGTGGTAAAAACCGTAAAACCGTTTACATCCTTAAGGCAAGAGAACATTCAAACCTCTTTGTCAAAGTTCAGAGGAAATTCCACCTAATAACAACATATTATCTGATACACGCAGTAAGATAATGCTGTATTCCCCAGGCATGCATCATAGTATTTGTTAATACCTGAATGGGAACTCAAAGCAATTTTTTATGAATATCTTTATTCGTTCTCAATTGGGAAGACATGTTCTTTCCCACTAGCAAAAAGGCTGCTTTTAACCCCCACGTAAGTATTCTAAGCCTGTCAAAGTAGCGGGAAATCAATACGAAGTAGTAAAATTGCAGGGTCGACGAAAGAGAGACGCCGATTATGGCTGAGGATTATTATGCAATCAGCAGGTGTTTTAACTCTGGTGTTCAATGTATGTGCTCAGTGCTTCTGTCATAAGTATTGCGCTTAGAGGCAAGCATAAATCACACCATATCTGTATTGTCACCAAGAATGATGATTTTACAACTGTGAATACCAACAGCCACTTTCTGGTGAACGTAATCTTAAATCTGTTTCCTTCTCAAACATGTCTCTAAGCGTCATCCCGGGCTTGTGAGTATGGTTCTGACGAAAGCAGTAAAAAGACCTGAATTACTTTAGGCCTTCCCCCCGACAATTAAATTTAAAAGTGAAGTTTAATCCAACTCACTCACTCAGCCTAATGAAAATATTCAGGATACAAAGGATGTCTGAGCACGTTTTAGATACATGATTTCATGATTACTGACAATAGAATCAAGTGAGTACACGATCCACGCTCTATCATGTTTTGACCGCCCAACGCAGGATAGCTGGACTATTGCTAATTTGGTATAGGTGGACTATTGCTAACTGTGGCCAACTGAAATATTTTTCACTGTGCATAGCTTGACTATTGCTTACCATGTATACCTGGACTGATGCTAACCGTTGATAGCTTGACCCTTGACAACTGTGGATAGCTTGACTATTGGTAACTCTGGGTATCTGGACTATTTCTCACTGTGGATAGCATGGGTTTTGCTAACTTTGGATAACAGGAACATTGCTGATTGATGCCTGTTGGGATAATGCTTAAGGAGCATAATGTAAAGGTTGAATACTGCTAACATAGTATAGCTCGACTATACCTTACTGTGGAAACCTTTGTACAATTGTCTATACGAAATACCTCGTTGAAATTGTCTATGCTGGAGATATCTAGAATTATACTTATACCAATAGATCGTGTTTAGAGTCACAGTTCTCGCATTCGTTTAATATTTTGTTGAATCAAACTCAATTATATGTAACATCAGATTCTAAGAATGACTCGATTCTAACTCTAGTCAGTCTGACTTTTTGACATATTCCATTTTCTTGATACATCCTTTCAAATTTTTATCTTCAAATTACATTGACCATTTTGATAAAACGATGTATGTCTTCCTTAGGGGTTTTATTGAACAAGTCACGCATAGCCTTAACCTGGTTGTCATTCATGAGTATAAAAGTACCAAGGAAAGCGATGCACAAATTAAGGTAAACACAGTTTACACCAGTACACAGATTAATGAATCAAGAAATACACAGACTGCAGTCAATTTCCCATACCTATAGCCCTTGTGGGTGTAAATACATCTGCCTTGCTCGAACATCTGCTTTAACTACGAGTATATGGCAAATTCAGACTTGTCTACCAAACGGAGCTTGTGGCAAGGCTATTTTAATTTGAAAACTGATTGTAAACTCTTGCACGAATTCAAGTGTCGTTATTGACGAGCACATGCAATCAAAGCTTTAGCATTAACCATCCACTGGTTTCACAGAACCTGTGTCATGACAGACAATAAGGGTGAGTATTCAGGTCATGAAGCTTATGGACATACACGCACAAATCGAGGTGTTCAAGCGAGATGGTTCCCACTGAACAAACGTGGGGAAAAGATGATAATTTATTGCTTGAGAGAGCCCCAGTTTTCGACTCGAACCTGTCAGTGCATGCAATCCATGTCCAATTGTCAAATATAGTGGCGTTGATTAGATTACATTTCTGTGGTCACCTCTTCATATGCAAAGAGAAGGGTCAGTCAACGTAGAAGTGTCTCCAACTCCACTGGCACTGTTTGAGTTCCAGTAGTTTGCTGCATATGAAGACAGCATTTCATGCAAAAGCATATTTTGACTCAACGATCTAAACATAACATAAATGAGTATATTCATGGACAATGGAAAGCATCCCGGGATACCCAAACGTACCCATCGCCCTACCCGCCCAAAAGTCAATTCTGTCGGTCGTCAAATTCGTCAAAAATGTATACTCAACGACAGAAACACACTGTCACATTTAAGCGTGCATATCCTGGAATTTGTTCTTTTGTAAAATGGTATAAACCTACAAGTATTACGGGTACATAATTTCGAACAGAAAATGGTCATCTGAGCACAGTCCACAGTGATATTTGACCTCTGAATTACTAGTCACTGACGCCATGAATGCGTCATTTGGTCTCTATAGTTTATATGCACTGCCAGTAAGGAAACTTCAGAATGAATTTCGCTGCTGTAGAATGTCGACAGTTGTTTTTGAAACAACTACAACGCCACTCGGCCCTGCTCGCCCGGCTTGATGGTAGAGTCCTACTTTCCTGTCTCACAAGTCACAAACTGGAAGCAAGCTGTCTGTCAAGGAGACTGAGAGGACTTGCTGGCAGAAATTAGGTCACGCTCCGGAATAAGGAACCAAGCTCAATGTGTTTTACTAAACTAGCTGCTTCATCTGTCAGGAGATAAATAGGCTGATGCGGCAATGGCCTTTGATGACACAGAACGTGTAAGTTGTAGGCATGCCATCCGATGAGAGACGTCAATAATGCTTTTTATCTTGCAGTGTTCGACTGTTTTATGAAAGCAATGTTATAACGTTACTTAACATTAAACCAGTCTGAATCTGTTTCAGGAAGCTCACTTTCAGTAATGTATCATTCTCCTATATGTGATGTTTGTCACAAGGACCTACTTGTTCGGTAACATATACAGCATAGGACTCACGACACGACAATACACGTTTCAAAATATAATTAATGGTTTAAGTAACAGTTATTGTTATCCTACGTACTTCCACACTTTTCGGAAGACATTATTTCCATCTAACAGTTCCCTATATTGTTAAGATTGTCTGATTCGATGTATTCAGACTGCTGCTGTTTCAGTCGTTGACGAGATCCGACCGATTTGACAACAATTAACCAGAATCTCTTCCGGATCTCTTCATGTGTTGTTAGCTACTTTCAGACCGAAACTTCATACACAAATAGGCTAACATCAGGTTGTTACCATCATTAAAGTGTGTGTGTGTGTGTGTGTGTGTGTGTGGAGAGAGAGAGTGTGTGAGTGAGAGAGAGAGAGAGAGAGAGAGAGAGAGAGAGAGAGAGAGAGAGAGAGAGAGAGAGAGAGAGAGAGAGAGAGAGAGAGAGAGAGAGAGAGAGAGAGAGAGAGAGAGAGAGAGAGAGAGCTTGTATTTTACGCAGTTTTAGCAATAACAGTATTGAATGTAGTCCATGGGGAACATAATGGTGATCGGACTTTTATTTCATTTCAAAGTTTGAACGCATTCAGCATAAAGACAAATATTCATTCAGTCAATTTAACATATTTTCATCTAAACGGAAAATTAATTCCCCTGTACACAAAGGTCCAGGTTCAATTCCCACATAAGGACATACTATTACTTGGACCTTGATGGAATCGGATTCAAACCTTTCTCACCCATTTTTCAACAGAGAACGAATTACGCCTATTGACTAGAATGTCTTAGATCAAATGACCAAATTCCATGTTTTAGCTGAAACTAGCATACAACTATAAAATAATATAACTTGCCAAATTGACTGGATAAGATAACAGTGTTATTAAATTATGGAAAATTCCATGCTTACCCAACAAGCAAAACGTGATACAAATCTGTATCTAACAGAACGAGTGTAGTGATTTATAGTATTACTCATGTAATACGCACTTGCACATAATCTTAACTCAACTGGATTTTTTTACAAAATCGATTTTTATACATTTGAGATGATTTTCGGTCGTAGACATTCTACTAGCTTTAAATAAAGTAAATGCACACTCAGCTTTTTTCGTTTTCGATTGAAAGAAAATATGAGATAATATATTCTAAACTTTTGTTCTTGATATATACTACCCATCAAATGTTTAGACTCACTAGTGTAAATGTAGCCACTTACTTCAGTCAGCTGTTCTAAACTAGATTTTGTTAAATATGCCATACTGTTTAAAGGTTCTGTTTACACGTGAACCGATGTATTGTAAAACAATTTCGTACCGTTGAACCAATTATTTTCATGAGTTCAATAAATCATGAAACTCAGTGAAAATAGGTGAATTCTCAACAAAACTTTACACCAAAACGCAGCTGTTCACAAGCACAATATCTGCATATGCTTTTCAGAAAAGTCATGCATGATCCTTGTGCAGTTCATCTGCATAAGGTTTGCAGATTGTTCCCCCAAGTTAGTGGAGAAAACCATCTACATACATACATACATACATACATACATACATACATACATACATACATACATACATACATACATACATACATACATACATACATACATACATACATACGTACGTACATACGTACGTATGTCTGTATGTATGTACAAGTATTTTATATATACGGTTACATCGAAGATGAATTTCTCCACTATACACACATAACATACAGTGAGTGCTTTAAGTGAGTCTAAACATTTGATGGGCAGTAGATATTAAAATAGTAATGCCATATTGGAACTATCTGCTTCCACTTGAACTACACTGCCTGTCAAAGTAAAGGATACACCAATGTTTTTTGGGTGGGATACACAAACAATAAATGGTTATTCGATGATGATATATTTGATACCGGTATGATCATAGTTATGTTTTGACCTTAAAGTGTGGATTGTTTCGAGTATTGTTTTCATCTTTCTAAGGGGTGGTGGGGTAGCCTAGTGGTTCAAGCATTGGTTCATCACACTGAAGACCCGCGTTCGATTCCCCACATGGGTACAATGTGTGAAGCCCATTTCTGATGTCCCCCGCCGTGATGTTGCTGGAATATTGCTAAAAGCGGCGTAAAAACCAAACTCACTCCCTCACTCATCTTTCTAACGTCATGACAAAAGTTTTGTTCATCCGGCAAGTAAAAAGACATTGAGTTTGACTAAAGAGTTTTACTAAAGGTAAATAAGAATAGAATCCAAAAGACATTATCAGTCTTTCACAGATGTATGAATCTGACACAGCAGATGGATTGAATATACAGAATATGTACTTTACAATCAATATAAACGAAATACGTAGCACAGATATTCACAAACACAGAATTACGTCTGCTGAAATAATGATGAGGAAATTTCTCACGACGACATTACGTTTATTTTATCGAAAGTTTGTAAATATTGGAATAATTGGTAATACGCTGATGCTATTGCAGCTCTGAACTTTAATTATGGTACGATGCTTGCACAGCCGACACAGAAATCCAACAACTCTCTCGACATTATGTCTTTAATATATGACTGGATTACAAAATACATGACTTGGCAGATATGCAAGCATCGTCGTCATTGATTACGTTATTCAACCATGCATACCTTGTGTCATGAACGCATGAAGATAATATGTCTGGGATCAATGTACACGCCGAGCAGAATTGCTCACTGTAACACCGACGACCTCGTTCGTTTGGTCAAATCAAGTAAAGGCCGCCGTGCTGTTATGACCCCATTTTATGTACAGCTCTAAGTTTTAAAATTTATTAAGCATTTTATCTTGTGAGAATTTTTAAAGCTCTAAATAACGCCGTCCCCGACGAAATAAATAATAACGATGATAGTAATCTGCATAGTAAGTCTGTGGAAGGTCTTAACTGACGTTTGTAATACCTTTTACCCTCAGTTTCACAATCGGAAATTATTTATGTATATGTTTCTATTCTTCCCTATGTCGCGAAGAGTGTTTCTTTGTCTTAACAAAGATCGAAATTTCATGCATCCTCTTGTGTATCGTTTCATCCACACCCCTCAACACGAACTTTATCCTACACCACTCCTGAAACTGCGCGACATCAAAGAACATCTTTGTGATATCAGCAACCACTCCTTTCACGGAGATTGAATTCCTATCTCTTCAAAAGCACAATGGGCACTTTGAACCCCTTTCTTCTGAAACAACAATCCGTCACATTATTTCTCAAAGGAACGCTGTTTTCGAGCTCATGTGGTGTCTTCATTATTTCAATTAGTTTTTGACAGCTTTTAAAGCAGTTAATAACAAATTCCATCCAATTATAGCGTTGTATGGCAGTGGAATTTGCCTTGACAGATTGATGTAATTGTGTTACCGTGTTTCTGTTAAGATTCAGTAGAAGTTGATAAAATTGTTTGAAAACAACAAATGCTCACATGGAATGAATTTCTATCTACTGTGGTAGGGAAGTTACGACTTTTCATGCTTCGGTAAAAACTATTTAGTGGGTATTTAGGAATTGAGGACAGCTGCTTTCCTCTGTCATCTCACAGTACACCAATCGCAGCACGTGTTTGCAGCGTTGAACCACACGTGACATATGCTTAATTGTATATCCACATGAGGTATTATAAAACAAAAAAGAGCAGTGCTCGCTAACAAAAACATGTTTTGTCTAGCTTATCATTCTTTGGATGAATCAAAGAGGAATAGTCGTGGTAAAAACCGTAAAACCGTTTACATCCTTAAGGCAAGAGAACATTCAAACCTCTTTGTCAAAGTTCAGAGGAAATTCCACCTAATAACAACATATTATCTGATACACGCAGTAAGATAATGCTGTATTCCCCAGGCATGCATCATAGTATTTGTTAATACCTGAATGGGAACTCAAAGCAATTTTTATGAATATCTTTATTCGTTCTCAATTGGGAAGACATGTTCTTTCCCACTAGCAAAAAGGCTGCTTTTACCCCACGTAAGTATTCTAAGCCTGTCAAAGTAGCGGAAAATCAATACCAAGTAGTAAAATTGCAGGGTCGATGAAAGAGAGACGCCGATTATGGCTGAGGATTATTATGTAATCAGCAGGTGTTTTAACTATGGTGTTCAATGTATGTGCTCAGTGCTTCTGTCATAAGTATTGCGCTTAGAGGCAAGCATAAATCACACCATATCTGTATTGTCAC